TGTGGTATGGAAAATTGTGCACTGATGGTTTTAATTTTATTAATGAAGAACGTGGCAAAGTCGTTAGCTGTTAGAGTTGATGAAGGAGGGGGAGGAGGAGGACAAAGGAGGGAGGAAAATGTTTTAAAGAGCATGCGAGAGTTAGACGAATTGTTAATTTTATGATAGTATGTCCTTTCAGCAGTGGAGAGATTAGCAGAGAAGGAAGAGAGGAGTGACTGATATACATTAAGGTCAGTAGGTAGTAGCTTATACTTGGGCATTCTCCTCTGTAAATCGTGTTCTGGGGAGGGCGGGGGGGATTCACGGCCCCCCCCACCATTGGGCCTTTAGAATCGTCCTAACCCCCAACACCCCTCCCCCCTTACAGCGCCACTGCATCCATGAAACCACCATGAATATGATGGATTATGACCACCTTGAATATGATGCATCCATGAAACCACCATGAACATGAGTATATAACATACTATCTCTGTTTCCACTTGTAGTACACTTGAACCCATCTTTCATACACTAGTACACTCAAGTGGTAACTAAATAAATTTTTTAAATACAGAGATAGAATAGCACATTTGAGTTAATATTCATGGAGTCCCAAAATAGCATAGTTGAGTACACTTAGATGATCTTAAGTTTATCTTAAGAAGTCCTATATATAATTTACCACAATTAAAATCATATGATGTTTATACGTACCACCATGTTGTAGGGATTTGCTCGTCCAGTAGATGGAGGCGTTGCGTTAAGATGGCAGGGAGAGAGAGAGAGAGAGAGAGAGAGAGAGAGAGAGAGAGAGAGAGAGAGAGATGATAATGATGACAATGATGATGATGATGTTGGGTTTGTAGTCTGCAGTCGCATCAGCACATCTCACACATTCACACAGAAGAGCTTCACAGACCGGCGAGATGTGGAGGATAGTGGAGCTCGTGGCGTGTTTGCTTATGATGTCCAGTCATGTATCATCTCAGAGCAAGGTAAGAAAAGAACAAAGTTTGAGAATGTGTTTTGCATTTATTTGCTCATATTCAGTATGTTATTGCAGAACTGATCATGCCAAAACAAATATTTTCTTCACTTATTTTATTACCAAACATCACTGTAATCATGGTAATCGTTTCATTGTTTTATGCATGAACTATAAAACTTTAGAACATGATTTCTTTTACTCAGATGATATAAAAAGTCAGTTTTATTTATTTATAAATAGCAGTTTCATTCAAATGTGAGTCGCTGCACTATTATTTGACATTTGGAAGTTTAGTCTATGGAATGGCTTGTTTTTTTTTTAAATAAAAGCGGATATATTTGATCATGTTCAATTCAGTTCAGTGAGATTTGGTGTTTTTATAGTCGAAATGATTATTCGCACGGGTGGGCGCTTTGAAAGTGTTTGGATTAAACTCTTCAGCAGGCACACACTGCGCGCAACGCACCGCTGGCACGAGTTCAGAGGTCTCGGGTTCGTGTCGTGAGTGAAAAATACCATAATACTGTCTAAAATAACAGGTGCTCAATCCTGCTTCTGAAGCTTGTGCTGTGCTGTTCTAACTATAATCTAATACACCTGCACTGAAGAAGATTCGCTTGCTCAGAGGTTTCTCTCTTTCACAGTTCATTAGTCTTAATGTTAAAATTAAAAGAACACCACACAAGACGCTTTTCAAAAATGGCACTTCTCTCAGCAACTTCCATAAAGATATCAGATTTATTTATTTATTTTTTGCAAGACTGCCATTGTTTTCCGACGGAAAGGTTTTGAGGAAAACAAAATATATGAATATGAAGTTCCTTAAATACAAAATAGGACATTCAAATGTTGCCTAAAGGTTTTCTAGAGGTTTCCACCCCACATAGTTACGGTGGCCGAGAAGTGCAGAACAAATCACAATTCTGAAAACAAAATAACAAATTACAAACGCAAATGCAAGTCTAAAAAACAAAATAACAATTCAGAAAGCACAACAACAATTCAGAAAACATTATAACAAGTCAGAAAACACAATGACAAATTCGAAAACAAAATAACAAGTCAGAAAACACAACGACAAATCTGAAAACAAATGATCAAGTCAGAAAACACAACGACAATTCAGACAAACCGGAAAGGGTAGGTATAGTTTGAGACA